AAAAACTAACATTAGAATAGCCATTAAAAAACAAATATACACACTATTCTACACCATATTTCATGCATAGTTTTACGCAAGAGTATGAAAATGGACTCTAGAAACTGAGGCATTTATAGCTATTGATCGAACAAAAAAAATTAGTCATAAAACCAGAACAACCATTTGAGAAAATAAAAAACAATCTGAACTGCAGAAGATTCTCTTGATAATGGTAACATCTGCACACACACTCTGTCAAGAGAAAAAAGAATTTTCGAAGAGAAACAAACCTGTGGATAGAGTTCCAAATTCTTTATAAGGCTATCAGTACATGATCTAAACATCGCCAATTTCTGTAACTTGCTTAACTGGAGAGTCTTCCTTGCAGCAGACCTTATCAATGTGCTGCTATCAACTAAAGCACCTAAGAACTGCAATGGAAGTAAGATATTCAAATGCCTCTAAACCATATTTATGCATCATATATCAACTTAATATTCCAATCGTAAATAGAAAATACAACAGAACTGGACAAAAGTTATTTATTTCTTCAAACCAGATAATTGCATGTTAGCATAAGAACGATTAGTAACATATTCAAATGCCTCTAAACCATATTTATGCATCATATATCAACTTTATATTCTAATCGTAAATAGAAAACACAACAGAACTAAACAAAAGTTGTTTATTTCTTCAAACCAGATAATTGCAATGTTAACGTAAGAATGATTGGGAATTACCATGTGTAAGTGAGATTCTTCAACTTTGAGGTGTTCATGAATAGCCATGTGATGCAGTGTCTCCAAAGCTTGAAGGCGAACAATATCCGAATCATCTATCAGCATATCCATCAATATATGAACAGCCCCAGCAGCAAATTTAGCAGAAAGAACAACTGGCACTTGCAGAGCATGACAGGCTGATCTTCTGACCTTAATCAAAGAAAAAGAAGATAACAATTCGGAAAACAGCCACCAAAAACTCTCAGAATACATCCAATACAAACTCACACGCATATACTACACAAAGAAGCATATATACCTGATAAAATTCATCCTCCAATCCATGAACAAAAGTATATGCAGCAGCAGTTGCCTGTATCTTAAATATCTTGGCAGTGTACTGGCCTAGATAATTCTTTTCTTTCGTTGCTAACAGAGGCTTCTTGGATAAGGTTTGAAGCAGGATATCTTCAGAAACAGTTTGGACCTTTCCAAGTGCATTAAAAGCAGCAACCCTTATCTCTGAATCTGTGTCTCTAACCATTAAACAAAGCTGTAGGAATATGTTCAACATTCAGGAAAGAACATCTCATCAAGCACAGTAGCTGAAAACTCAAAATGCAGCCAAATAGTATGAGCAGAAAACTATGGGAACTATTATCATGAAGTTCCACATAAATCGGAATGATTATCATGATAAGAAATGTAAAAAAGAATAAGATAAACAGAACTTTGTGTGTTTAGCACATTATCTTGTGTTTACGCAAAGAATGACAGACGATGAACCTGTAGAAACAATGCATCAGACCTATCCATTTTAGTTTCATCCGAACACAATCCCACGAGCAATTGCCCCCACTCACTGACCTGTAACCAGATCGTGCAAAACTATCAGCCACATTACAGCAATATTACAATAAATCGATGGATATTAAAGGGGAAGTCCAATGAGAATAATCCACAAGCAGACACTACCAAAACCATACCGCACAAACAGCCGAATGCCGTACATAATTATCCGAATCGAACAGAAGCTCCACTGCCCGAAAGTAGCAACCTTCGACCAAATGCCGATCCTCCACAACAATGCCACCACTCAACACCGTTAACCCATCCAATGCGAGTCCCCTGATATTTGGATACGGATCCTTAGTCAGCCCGAGAAGCACCGTAAGCAAAGCCGACGGCCTCACCAGGAATTTGCTCGCGTTTCTCAGCATCCACCCTCGTATCTTCACGCACGGCCAGAAGCACAGGGAAAGAAATAGGGACTCGTCTGCAAACGGGTCGGGCTGGGGAGAACAGGTCGGGTCGACGAGGGAGAGTGCGTGCGGTATGGAGGGGGTGGGGGTGGAGGGCAGCACGATGAACGCGTGGACAGCGGCGGAAATGAGGTGGCGGAGGCGGGGTTGGTGGCGGGAGATGGCGGAGAGGAGGGAGAGAAGTTGCCGGTGATTGGAATCGGGGTTTTGGAGGTGGAGAGATAGGGTTTCTATAAGGGAAGAGAGGGTTCGGTCGGAAGTGAACGGATTGGTGACGAGAGAGATGACGGCGGCGGCGGATTCGGGGGATAGATTACGGTATTGATCGAGTGTGGGGATGACGGCGGAGAGGAGGCGGTCCTCCATCGGTAGTGGTCACCGGAAAATAAAGAGAATAGTTTAAAAAGTTTGAACAGAATGATTCAAGGGGGAATAAGTGCAAGATCAACACATAGCCTGATAGCCATGAGTTCGGTTCGGCTCCATTTCAGCTCAACTCGAAAATATAGAGAAAGATATGTAATTTTGTATAGTTTTATAAGGCTTAAGCTAAGCTTGTTGATACGCGTGTTGATCTCATGCTCGTTTATCATCTTGTTTTGTTAACAGATCGGAAAAGCCCGAGTTCAAGTATCACAGCTTTAACTAAGTTATGCTCCATTTTAGCCCAACTCATTAAGTATCGAAATAATAATATTTATGTAATTTTCTAAAAGTTAAGCTCAACTCGTTAGCGTTAGCGTTGATGAACGAGTCGAGAATTTATCACTCGTCTGGTTAACTAAACTCAATATTCAACTATCGAAGCTTATGTGAGTTTTGCTTCATTTTAATTCAACTCATTAAAGCTCAAAAATAAGATTTCTTGTGTAATTTTCTATACTTTGATAAGGCTTAAATTCAGCTCGTTAATATTGATAAACGAGGCTCGTTTATTAGCTCGTTTTGTTAACAATTCAGCTCAATAAAAGCTCGAGTTCAACTATCATAACCTTTAGCGAAGTTAATGTTTGATTTAAGCTCAACTCGTGACGACTTACAAATATTAATTTTTATATAATTTTTCATACCTTCGATCACGCTTGAGCTGACTTGTTAATCTTGATAAATGAATCGAGTTCAAGCTAATTTATCTGCTCGTTTTGTTAATAACTCAACTCAGTAAATAGTTAGAGTCCTGTTATGTAATTTTTATAATTTGACAAGGTTTGAACTTAACACATTAATATTGTTAGATGAGCTGGCTCGAGCTCGTTTTGTTAATAGCTCAACACAATAAGAATTTGAGTTCAAGTATTAGAAGCTTTACCCAATTTAATGTTCGATTTCAACTCAAGTAATTAAGCCTTGAACGTAAGATCTTTTATGTAATTTTATATAGTTGGATACGAGTTTAGCTCAACTAGTTAATATTGTATTGATAAATACGACAAACTCGAGTTTGTTTATGGACTCGTTTTGTTAATAGCACAGCTCAACAAACCGAAAGCGCGAGTTGTAGAAGAAGTTTTAGCTCGGTTAAGCAAAAAAACAAATAAATATAAGAAAAGGCTTATTTTCATTTTTCATTGGAAATAAATATCACTGTGAAGGAGTGAGAGGAGAGAGTGAACAAAAGGGTTTCTGCAAAAAAACGATGCCGTGCCTGAACCTCTCGACCAACGTCAGCCTTGACGGCGTTGACACGTCCGCCATCCTCTCCGAAGCCTCCTCCACCGTCGCCAAGCTCATCGGAAAACCTGAAGCTGTATGTGGCTTTTCCTTATTGTTTGCTGTTACTGTACTTCATTTCATCTGTTTCTCCTTTTTTTTTTCACCTATTACACTTCAATCGGGGTAATTATTCCTTGTTCCTGTGTGATACTCGATTTTCTTGATCGGTGTGGCGCAAATTGTAGGTGTTTCTGAAAACTGATTACAAATTTAGTTTTTTTTTTTAGGTCGTAGGAAGCTAGAATTTGGGGAATTTATACATGATACTGAAATTGTGCTATTTTTTGCTTCGATTTCATGCCTTGCCCCGCTGAGATTCTGTGAAAAAATGAGATAATTGCAATTGAAGTTTGCTTGGGCTTTAGTGTGCCTGTGGTCTAAGACTTAGTCATTCACATATCAAATGGGATAAAAACGGGATTGAGTCTCATTATGTATTTATATGCTCATAATTTATCATGTTGAGTTTATTGTTCTGTACTTTGGTTATACGTTGTACGATTTTTGGGATGAGTGAAGCTCTTGAATACATTTTTTAATACAAGTTTTATTGTTGTAAAAACAAAAATAATGTAGTACTGGTAAATTGTAATAATGTTACACTCTGATTTGTCTTTGCTGATGATTGTTATCTTCGTTTTGCTCTACTCTTAAGATAACCCTTTCTACTTTATATTATCAAAACGAACTATTATCACTCAAAATTTNTGCAGTATGTAATGATTGTGCTGAAAGGATCTGTGCCGATCGCATTTGGAGGTACCGAACAGCCGGCAGCTTATGGAGAACTCATCTCCATTGGAGGTCTAACCTCTGATGTGAACAAGAAACTTAGTGGTGCTATTGCTAGCATACTCGAGTCCAAGCTTTCTATCCCGAAAAACCGATTCTACCTCAAATTCTATGATACAAAGGTGAGCGAAACGAGCCACTTCAATTCTTGTTGAAATGGACAAAAATGGTCTTATGCGCAAATGCATTAGTATCTTCTCATTGCATATTCTTCTGCCTTGTTTAGGCCTGTCAGAGCCAAGAATATGCACAGTGTCTGCATGCTTTACACCAGTACTAGAAAATCATGTAATAACAAACCTTTCACCATTCGGAGTCATTGGAGATTTTGTGTTTTATTACATTGCAACTTTTGGGTGTATTTGTTCTGATTTGGTCGATTTTCGTAAATTGTGCATGCCTATGGTTTGAGTTTTAGGCTCTCAATGCCTTTTTTCGGTTCTTGTGCTTATGTCTTTCTCTTTCTTTTTCTTTGTTTCGTTTTTTTTGCAGGGCTCCAACTTTGGGTGGAATGGATCGACCTTCTAGGTTTCTAATTTCTTAAGTTTCGAGTTGGTGCCTATTTTATGAACTTATTATGCATGAAAACCCCATTTCGTTGTGCTGCATGTGATGATGCATCGGATCTGTGATTAAATGATATCTGGCGTAATGTATTAGCTAATTGGCAACTTTTATAATTGATGTGTTCTTTTACGCGTGTTATCTATTTTCATAGTAAAGAAAAGAGTATGAACTCCAATCTTCTTATGTTTGATTTCATATTTCGTTGAAATTGGATTTTCAACACTTGCAGATATTGCTAGGAGCTAAAAGAATTATTATTAGGCTATGTTTGGTAAATCTCGGCTGATAAGTTAGTTTATAACTTATAAGTGAATTTTGAACTTATAGCTGATATCTTATGGCGGACGGCTAACCTGAAAAGTTAGCTGATATGATAAAAATGTTTGGTAAAATTAGCTGATTAGCGATTTTTACTGAGTTTTTTTGAAAAACTACCTAAAGATGTTAATGAGATAATCTTGAGTTTTTTTAAAAGCTTTTTCTAAGCTTATTTGCATGCATGAAGTTTATTAGCTAACTAAACAAATTATAAGTTAACTTATGATGATTACCAAATAGCAAGTATCAAATAAAACAACTGAAATAAAGGACTAATCCATTGTTTTTCCTTTTCGGAGTATTCCTCTTCATCTTT